ATGTGTAGAGCCGGGATTGGTGGTTTGCACATCACCCCAGATGACGTCACGGGAGAGGCACAGTTTAAACGGTTAACTCCAACTGACAGCGACAGTTAACTCTAACTGACAGCGACAGTTAACTCCAACTGACAGCGACAGTTAACTCCAACTGACAGCGACAGTTAACTCCAACTGACAGTGGATGTCAGCGCCATCTTCTAACGGCAATAGCGATAGCGAGGGCGGCTCCTCACACATTTGGACTTAAGTTTTGTGCATGGCAATAGATATGTATCTATCTGCAGTATTTTACATGCCAGCATCCAGTTATGACAGCACCATTTGTTGAAGATGCTTTCTTTTTTCCATTGTATAACTTCAGATTCTTTGTCAAAAATCAGGTGTATGTAGGTGTGTGGGTTAATATCAGGGTTTTCTTCTTTTTATAATCATTTTTATTTAACTTTTTACACATGTTACTCCCAGATCCTTCTCCCTCTCCTCCTACCCCTCCCCGAATCCCCCCACTCCCCAGGGAGGATAAAGCCTTCCATGGGGGATTTTCAAAGTCTGTCATATCATCCTGGGCAGGGCAGAGGCCCTCCCCCATGTGTCCAGGCTAAGAGAGCCTCCCTCCATGTGGAGAGGGCTCCCAAAGTCCATTTATCTGCCAGGGATAAATACTGATCTACTATCTAAGACCCCATAGATAGTCGAGGCCTCCTCTGTGAAACCCAGGTTCAGGGGGGTCTGGATCAGTTCCCTGCTGGCTTCTCAGTCATCATTATGGAGTCCATATGTTTCCCCTTGTTACGGTCAGCTGCTTTCTGTGGGTTTCTCCAGCCAGGTCTTGATTCCTTTGCTCATCACTACTCTTTGCACCTGGGTTCCAGAAACCCAGTTCAGTTTTTAGCTGTGGGTGTCTGCCTTTGCTTCCATCAGCCACTGGATGAGGGTTCTAGGGTGGCATATAAGGTAGTCATCAATTTCATTATTATGGGAGGGCATCTAAGGTAGCCTTAAGGCCAGTTGGTGTCATTCTTGTAGATCTCTGAAAATCTCATTAGTGCCACATCTCTCTTCGAACCTATAATGACTCCCACTATTATGGTATCTCTCATCCTGCTCTCCTCTATTCTTACCCTGACTCAACCTTTCTGCTCTCCCATGTCCTCCTCTCCCCTTCTCTTCTCGTCCTCTCTTTCTCCCATCTCCCTCTCCCCTCCTGTCCCCCCATACTCCCAATCTCCTCAAGAGATCTCGTCCCATTCCCCTTCTCCGGGTTACCATGCATATCTCTCTTAGGGTCTTCTCTGTTTCCCAGACTCACTGGAAGTGGGATTTTAGCCTGGCAATCCCCTGCTCCATGTCTAAAATCCATATATGAGTGAGTACATACCATTTTTCTATTTTTGTGACTGGGTTACCTCACTCAGGATGGTTTCTTTTAGAGCCATCCATTTGCCTGCAAATTTCAAGATTCCATTTTTTTTTTCATTGTGTAGATGTACCACATTTTCTCTATCCACTATTCAGTTGAGGGGCATCTAGGTTGCTTCCAGGTACTGAATATTATAAATAATGTTGCTATGAACATAGTGGAACAGATGTCATTGTTGTATAAATGTGCATCTTTTGGATATATGCCTAAGAGTGGAATTGCTGGGTCTTGTGGTAGACTGATTCACATTTTCCTGAGGAATCTCCATACTGATTTCCAAAGTGGCTGTACAAGTTGGCACTCCCCCCCAGCAGTAGAGAAGTGTTCCCCCTTCTCCACATCCTCTCCATCATAAGCTGTCATTAGGGTTTTTGATTTTAGCCATTCTGGTGGGAGTGAGATGGTATCTCAGAGTTGTTTTGATTTGCATTTCCCTAATGGCTAAGGATGTTGAGCACTTTCTCAAGTGTAGGGTTGAGGCCTCTGGACTTTTTCCTATCCACCTTAGCATATTTATTGTTGTCATCTTTTTCTAGTTAATGTTGAGGCAGTCATGTTGGTAAGCTCCTTGATCTTATGGCTTTTTAAAAATCTTTCTGCCTTCTCTTTCACAGTGTTCCCTGAATCTTAGAGTCAGACGTTTTGTCAATGTGTCCTTTGGGACTGGACTCCACGACTTTGCATTTTGATTGATTCTGGTTTTCTATGATTTCTGCCTGTTGGAAAGTCCTTATCCTTGATGAGGGATAAAGACTACACTTATCTATGGATATAAGTTAGCCTGACTGTTTCTCTGGCAGGAGAGGCCCAGGCTTCAAGGTTTCAAAAGCCCATGCCAGGCCCAGTTGTCTCCCTGATGCCTTTGCATCTGAATGTAGAAGTCTCAGCTACCTAACTCTCTAGTACTATATCTGCCTATGTGCCACCATAGTCCCTGCCATCAGGGCAATGGACTGAGCTGTGAAACTGTAAGCATGCCCTTCATTAAATGCTCGCTTTTATGAGCTGTCTTAGTCATGGTGTCTCTTTACAGTAATATGAACAGTGATTTAGACAGGATTTTTAAAAATATTCTTTTTCAATTTTCTTATATTTGTTAAGACTTGTTTTGTACCCTAATCTGTATATTACTTTAGAAACAGTTCTATTGTCTACTGAAAAGAAAGTATATTCTGCAGTATTTAAAAAAAAACTTTTTTGAGGGAGGGGGTTGGTTTTTTGAGACAGGGTTTCTCTGTGGCTTTGGAGGCTGTCTTGGAACTAGCTCTTGTAGACCAGGCTGGTCTCAAACTCACAACGATCTGCCTGCCTCTGCCTCCCGAGTGCTGGGATTAAGGGAGTATGCCACCATTTAAACACATTTTTAAAAAAAATTATGTATACAGTGTTATACCTGCACATACACCTACACGCCAGAAGAAGGCACCACATCTCATTACAGATGGTCTCTGGGAATTGAACTCAGAATCTCTAGAAGATCCAGCAGTGTTCTTAACCTATGAGCTATCTCTCCAGCAGCATTTTGAAGTATTTAAATGGAATGGTTCATAGATATATTAACTCATTTGATATATGACATATTTTAATTCAGATGGTTTTTTTTTTTTTGTCCAGATAACCTGTTCTTTGATGAATCACCACTACTGTATTGGGATTAATCTTGTCTTTACAAAGATTAACCTAGTATTCGTTTTATTAAATTGGGCGTACTTGTGTGCAGGGAATGTATAGAATAATAATGTTCTCTTGATGGACACTCCCTTCACTATTATGAAGTGTCTTTGCCTTTTCAAGTTAGTTTTTAAAAAATGTTTTGTCAGATATTAAAACAGCCGCATTTGCCTGTTTCCTATGTCCGTTTGCCTGGAATGCTTTCCCCACCCTTCCACCCTAAGGTAGTGTGATGGTTGTTGGCTGTCAACTTGACTACATCTGGAATTAACCAAAGCCCAAGTGGGTGGCTATCCCTGGGAGGGGTTTTTCATGATTGAATCATTTGAAGTGGGAAGACCCACCCTAAAGCCACACCTCCTGGTAGCAGCCGATATGAAGGCAGTCTATATGGAAGAAGGAAGTTCTTGCAAACCTGCTTATCCTTCCTCCGTTCCTTCACTATCATTAGAGCCTACTTAGAATTCCAGAATATACTGAAGACCAGCTAAGACTGACTATTATTTCATCAGGAGACAGCCTTTGTTGAAATAGTCAAACCAAAGCCTGTTAAGCCACTGTAACAAATCACACACACAAAGACACACACATTCCCACACACATTCATTCTATTAGAGAATCATGACTAATACAGGTAGCACGCACACACACACACACACACACACACACACACACTCACTCATTCATCCTATTAGAGAACCATGACTAATACAAGTAACACACACACACACACTTTCTATTAGAGAATAATGACTAATACAGGTAACACACACACACACAAACACACACACACACTATTTCATTCTGTTTGAGAACCATAACTAATACAGGTAATGTCGTTTCATGATGAGATGCATTCTTTGAAGGTAACAATGCACTGTTCTATGTTTTGACTGGGGAACTGAGACTATTTATATTCAGGGTTATTGAGAGGTGTGTATTGATTCCTGTCATTTATCAATTTTGTGTGTGTAGTTATTTTCCTCTTCCTGTCTTGCTTAACCATCTTTGTGGCAGTTTATTCTTACTATGTATACATTATACACAACATAATTAGATCATATTTACCTCAAGTTATCTTCTTAAGGCCTTCTCCCTCTCCTGTAATGCCCTCCTCTCTCCAACTTTCTCCTTTCTACCTTCATGCCATGTGACCACTGAGTGTAATTCAGGGTTGTAGGAGTGTGTGCATCTTACCATGGAAGAAAACGCCTTTTCCTCACCCAACAACAGTTATCTGCACAGAAATCCTCAGGAATGTCACCACTGTGAATTCAAAGCTAATTTGGGCTTCACAACAACTGTTCCTGATATTTAATATATGAGTTATAGAGTGACCACCTATATCAACTTAAGAAGAAAAAAAATGGAGGATTTAAAACAGAACTTTGGGGGAAGTATCCACAAAATACCTAAAACTGGGTTAAATGTGAAAGGGGAGGATTTGGGGGTAAAGTCGCGTTACTGATCGAGATGGTGACAGTCCTTTCATGCCTGGCCTGGGCTCACTGGGTTAAATGTGAAAGGGGAGGATTTGGGGGTAAAGTCGTGTTACTGATCGAGATGGTGACAGTCCTTTCATGCCTGGGCTCACTGGGTTAAATGTGAAAGGGGAGGATTTGGGGGTAAAGTCGCGTTACTGATCGAGATGGTGACAGTCCTTTCATACCTGGCCTGGGCTCACTGGGTGGTCATACTGGTTGGTACCCTTGCCCACCAGCACTGTGATGGATTCGTCTTGTAGGGAACTTTTTACCATTCTGGAAAGCATGCTGGCTTGTTTATAAAAAGACCCATCAATATTCACATTTTCTGAGTCCCCAAATAAAAATCCAGAACAGCAAAAATCACGGTTATGCCTCCTGGTTAGTCTGTCTGCAGCAAAAACCAGACCTGCACACAGAACTCAGTCCAAATCTGTGCTTTACTAGAATCCAAAAGTGGCAGAGAGATGCTCAGCTCCTCAGGAAGGCTGAAGTGCAGAGCCAGCAGCATCTCCTCCACTGCGGAGCTCAGTGCAGCCTCTGTTCTGGCCTACGTGCTGCTCCGGGAGTTACTTTTCCCAGGTCCTGCCTTGGGCAGCCTGGTGGCACTGGGCTGGCGTGGCATCCTCTGGATGGGTCCTTCCCGGCTTCCACGTTCTGCCACTGTGGGCACACTGCCAAGAGTGGGACCACCCCTGTTTCTTCCTGAAAAGACAGAGAAGCCAATAGTTAGGACCGGGCAGACTCTGGCTGTAGCACACTCACCATCTGGTTGCCTGGGAAATGTGAGTGGCAATCTTGGGTGTCAACTTGACTACATCTGGAATCAACTGACACCTAAAATGCCGGCACATTGATCGGTAAGGGATCATCTTAGTGGGAAGACCAACATCAAATCTGGTAGCAGCCTACATGAAAGGGCAGGCAAGAAGGGAGCTCTTGCCTTCTGCCTGCTTGTTCCCATTTTCCCTGTTCATCCACCCTGCTGCTGAGGCATTCCTCTGCTGCTGTTAGAATCTACTTCTCCTGGAGTCCCACCTAGACTGACGCCCACGAGCTCTTAGCAAACCTCGGGGACTCCAGCACCAGACTGCAAATGCCGAGACAGTCAATCCTGTAAACTGAACAACTACTGATTCTTGGACTTTCCATTGGACTGTATCAATCTAAAGAAGGAGGTGCCCACCGAGGAACAAGACGCATACAGGACACCAATTCATAGGAAAGAAAAGAAATTCCCCATGACACATTATAACATTGAAAGTTCAGAACAAAGAAAGTACACTAAAAGCTACAAGAGAAAAAGGACCCAATCTGACTTTTCAGTGGAGACTAAAACCAGAAGGGCCTGCACAGATGTTCTATAAACTCTATAAACCACAGATGCAAGCTCAGACTACTATACATAGCACAAGTGTCTATCACAATTGACAGAGAAAGAAAGCATTTCCCATTAAAAAACAAACTTAAATAATTTCAATCAAGCTCTACAAAAGGCACGGGGGGGGCAGTCAGCCTAAGGAGAAGGACAGAAGGAACAATCCCAGAACAACTAAAAGGAAGAAGAAAAAAAGCCCACAATATAACAATAAACAACGGGAAGTAATGAACACTTCTCACCAATAACTCATCATTAATGATCTCAACTCTCTCAATAAAAACACTGACTAACAGACTGGATTAGAAAACAGGATCTGTCTTTCTGCTGCACCCATGAAACATACCTCACTGTCAGGAAAGAAGTCACCTTAGAGTGACAGGATGGAAAAGGTGTTCCAAGTAATTGGACCCAAGAAGCAAGCAGGTGTTGCTATTTTTAGTATCTGACAAAATAGATTTCAAACCAAAGCTAATTAGAAGAGATACGGAAGGACATTACTTTCATGTTGTGTGTGTGCATTCGTGTGTGCCAGATACCTGTACGCCCAGTATGCGTGAGACAAATATCGGAAAGGTCTGGGGATGTAGCTCAGTGGCATAATTTGGACCAGGCTTTTTCTTTTAGACCACCAACCAGCTTCCAAATTATGACACAGAGACTTATTATTAGTTTTGATGCTCTGCCTTAGCTTAGTTCTTTTCTTATAACTTAACCTGTTTCTCTTCAACTGTTTGGCCTTGAGTCTTTTTACCGTATCTTACTTTCTTGCTGTCTCTATGTCTGGTTGGCTGACAGCTGCCACGCTTCTGGCCCCCGGCATGTCCCTCCTTCTCTTGTTCCTCGTTCTTCTTTCTCGAGCTTATATTTTTCTTCCTATTTATCCTCTCTCCCTGCCAGCCTTGCCTATTCTTTCTCTGTCTAGCTATTGTCTGTTAAGCTTTTTATTAGACTAATCAGGTGTCTTAGGCAGGCAAGGTCAAACTGATGCTACACATCCTTACATAATTGAACAAATGCAGCACAAACAAAAGTAACACACCTGCTGGGGGTTGGTGGCGCACACCTTTAATCCTAGCACTCAGGAGGCAGAGGCAGGTGGATCTCTGTGAGTTCGAGGACAGCCTGGTCTACAGAGCGAGTTCCAGGACAGCCTCCAAAACAATACAGAGAAACCCTGCCTCAAAAAATAAACCACCACCCCCAAAAAAGAGTAACACACCTTTACACAGTTAAAGTAACATTCTGCAGCATAAACAAAAGTAGCACATCTTTGCCTGATTAAAACGTTCTGCAACAACGATTCCTGCCTAGTATGCAGAAAACCTATGTGGCAGGGTTTGAGGGCAGAACATAGTCCAGAAGACCTAAGTTCCCGGCCAGCACAGAAAAGATGGCAGGATGGAGGAAGACAGGAAGCAAGCGTGCACAAGGGCACACACTTTACGGAAGGCGGTGGAGCGTTTGTGGAGTTTGGTGTTTGTATGGGGGGGTCTTGGAATCAATCCCTACAGCTATCAAGGGACAACTGTATTACCATCTCAACATGCCCACATGTATTTACTCACAAGCTGTTGTGTTAATTTTCATACCACCCAATACCCAGCCTCAACAATAGCTGCCCCGTTCTGGCTCAAGGCACTTACCGGACAGTGCAGTTTATGTGAGATTTCTGGCTTTCACACGCCAAGTTTCACCTTGTACTTTCTGGAGGGGCTGCTTTTCAAACTGTGCAGTTTCCCTAAAGCTACTTTCCTCGGCAAGACTGAAGACCACTGTGGCCAGCTTCTGCTCCATCATTTCCCATTTCTCTGATAGACGTGGGTGATTTATTGAGGGCAACTTAGACAGCCAGGGTCCAGAGATCCAGATGGTCTTGCTGTGCCTGCAGCCTCTTACAGACTCTGGAGGCTCTAACTCATGGCCTGGAGCAACACCAATCTAGTTCCTACAGGAAAGCTATCGCCACGCCACCCATGGCCACAAACTTTGTCATTTACAGGTCATCTCACCCCTCCAGCTGGATCACCTTGGCCACTCCTGTTACTTTCTCCATCCCATAACGGTTATTGAGAGGGTGGCTGAAAGGTCCGTGTGTATGGACGCTAAGACACAAGGCAGAGATCTCTGTGCCTCACCTGGTAGCCTTGAGCTACAGCACATTTAAGGTCTAGCTCCACCTCTGCCCTGCTCCCCCTCACCTCTTCCACATCAGCCATTATTTCTAAGTCTCAGATTGATACCATGGCCCTCAGGACCTTCTAGGACTAAACCCTCCAGAGCTAACAACTCTGTGGTTCCTGTCCTCTCCAGAAACCCCTCATTTACTCCTGTAGCCTATCCCCATCCCTTCTCCTCAACCCTCCCAACCTAAAGATGGACTTGGAACAAAGGTGAGCAATATAGGGAGGACAAGGAAGAGGGGTGACTCAATAACCCTAGGAGCTCACACACCCTAATTCTGGATGTCTGACCTTGCCATACCTGCTGATACCTGGAGGTTATCCCAGCCCACAAATGAGGTATTCAAGAAAACTCAGTTTACGAGTAGGTGTGTGTGTGTGACCAGAAAATGTCACTCTTATGGTGTTGCCAAGGAGGCTTGGGGCAGCGTCTGTTCCCTTTTCCATACTTTGAATTCAGCTGAGGGGCAGTGCTTAAGAGGCTGGGCCACATTCCCAACAGCACACCACGATGCCTCCTCGTTGCCCCTGCCTTACGTCCTCTGCCTGGAGTAGGGATATTTAAAGTGTGCCAGTGTGGGAGTGTTGGTCTTATCCTGGAGTGCCAGTCCAGGGTTTGGTAAACTGAGCAAGAAAACAGGTCCTGCTTCTGAGTTGCATGGCTGGAAAGGTCTACACTGCCCAGGCCTTGTGAGAACAGTGGTGCTTTCCAGAGTGCACATCAACCTCAAACCCAGAGATAAGACAACAAAAATGCCAGTGAAAGGAGAAAACGGGCAGCAAAAGAACCAGAGGCACGGGAGCAGAGAGGCCGGCATGGCAGCTGGGCCATAGGGTGGAAATGGAGCTGCAGGCCCGAGGAAAAGAACGGCCTTGCTTCCGTTCCCAGCAAAGAGGCCAGAGAGGCAGAGGCAGAAAGAGGGTGGGTCGCTGAGTATGTGTGGGTCCCCAGGCCTGACAGTCTCCCTTCACTGGGTCAGGTGGGCGCTTTACCCCACTTGGATGCCTTCCGGCTTCTTCCCCTGCTTCCAGGCGGGGATCAGCACTGGACCTCCATCCACTGGCCTGGGAGCTGTATTTCAGAGTTCCGACAGCCAAAGAGAGCAGATGCAACAGACAGAGAGGGTAGATGCGGGGACCTGAGATCCTTCCATTACACCCTGGCTACCTCCATCTGCATATACGCCATCCCAGACACGACCACAGGAGCAGGGGAGCCCTTCACACCTGAGCGCTGGGATAACCTTTCTGTCAGACTTCTCCTGTAGGTTCCAAGGCAGGCAGAATCCTGTAACCCAAATAATCCCCATGGGAGGTGTCCAGGTCTGGCCGGAGATGAAGGGGAGCTAGACTTGGGCCTGGAAAGGGTAGGTAAGGAGTTGTCTGTCTGCCTTGTTCTCTGAGTATTTCCTGGGGCTGTAATTGTCAGGTAGATGGAGACCAAAGCAATACTTATTCCAGTCAGTAGCTGTGAAGGCATGATGAAGAGGTGGGAAGGTGTCAGACAGAAGCCTCTCGCCTACCTAAACCAGTCCTTGATCCAGCGGTACAATCCCAAATGTGGAGCTAACTAAGGTCCCTGGAAGTTGAATTGGTCTGCAGACCCTGGCTGGAGACCCACAGACATGTTGAGCCGTTCTGAGGCAAGCCAGCCATCGGTTCTCCGGCCCTTCCTCTATCCCTGCCACCCTCCACCGGAAGTACCCGGCCAACCTCTAACCTCGAGTCTCTGATGTGGACAGAGATACGGGTACCGAGTCCTGGGGATCGCTGGTCAGCCGCTGCCCGGCACACATGGACTTCAGTATCTGGAAGACGGCCAGGGGAGCCACATTCAGATTCAGCAAGTCCACCAGGATCCTGAGAGAAAGCAAAAGCGGTGCCCAGTGAAACTTGCAAGCCTTGCTCCATGAGCCGCGCCGGCTGGGCCACCGCCCTGAAAACCCGTACAGAGACGCGGGAGTTTTCAGAGTAGTGGATGCCAGCAGGAGAGGTCCTGAAGCAGGCTTATCTGCAAGAATGAGCTCGAATCCCCGACCCTCCCTTCTCACTTGAACACTTCAGGGTCGATGGCGGCGCCGGCAGCCAGTGCAAGCTCGTACAGCTCCATCTCCTCGGTCCCCAGCACTTTCTTCCGCCGAAGCGCTAGCTTTTGCAGCGTCGCCGCCTCCAGCCCTGTGGATGTCCCGAGTGCAGCACCACCACCCGCTGCCGCCATCAGCGTAGCCTGAAAAGGGTGAGCGTTGGATCCGGGCCGCCCGGAGATTCCACAGCGCCTCCTACTGGCCACTCGTTTCCCTGCCGGGTCGCCGCAGGTCTTGCGGGGGCTGCTCCAGCATTGAGGGCGGGTTCGGGAGGAATCTGCTTAGCTGATTGCCTGACTTGTACTGTGCACAGGGCAGTGTGTTAGGCAGGGGGATAGTGTGATGGAAGGCTGTACGCTGTGTGGCGATCAGACCCTTTATAGACCACTCGCTTAGGTAGCAACACCCAGAACTGCCTGGCATATACTGGGTACGCGGTAAATGCCTCGTGGATGAAGGGCATTCATGATTACATGCAATCATCTCTTCTGCCAAGAGTCCCTAAATAGCTTTTGCTTTTATACCGCACACACACACTCCTCCCCCCCACACCCCCCGAATACATAAATTTAGGCGTAAAAGAGTCTGACGCCATCATTGCGCACGCGCCTTTGTGGCCAACCGCTGCTGTCTTTTGCTTTGCGCATGCTCCTTCCCTTTTTGGTGGAGGCGGTTTTCCCACTAGGCAGGGGGCGTGGCTTGATGACGCAGTGCTCGATAAGGCGTTTTCAGTTTAGTTTGGCTGGTGGCGGCTATTTTGAAGCTAGGTGGAGCGGCGCAATGGCCAGAGATGAACTCAGCAAGTCAGCTTGGCCTGTGTGATGACAATGGAAAATTCCTGATCGGCTACGGTTGAGACCTGAGGAGCCAGCCAAGGAGTGCCCACGCAGAGGGAAAGGGGGGTGGGGGTTCACGGCTTTTAAGATTTGTACAGTGGCACACTGAGAAATGTTTTGTCTCATAATGCTCTGCTTGGCCATTTTTAAGATCTTACTCGTCCTTTGATTATGTATTAGGATTCCCACTTACGTGTTTTAATGGGTTTTGCGTGTGTGCATCTGCCTGTGTACGTTTCTTGTGCTTTATCTTTGTTTTTCTCTGTTTTGTTTCGATTTGGTTTGAGTTTTTTTGTTTTGTTTTGTTTTGTCTTTCAGTGTGCCTGTTTGTTTGCTAGTGAGAAAGAAGGCTTTGGGTTCAATATGTGGGGAGTGGAGAGGATCAGGAAGGAGATGAGGGAGGGGAAACCAGAATCAGATAATAGGGGATGAAAAAAATTATTTCCAATAAAAAAGATATATGGGACGAATAGTCTCCATTCTTAGAAAACATTGTCCATTGTCCATTGGGAGAGTTCAGAGCATCTACTCAGTACTCAGTCTATCTCTTCTGTCCCCTGCACTGGACACAGCTTCCCTGGATCTGCTGGTCCTCTTTGCTTCTCACCACATACGCTTGGTGAACCTTTAACCAGTCACCAGGACAAATCCCTGAGATGGATTTGTCTTCCTTGCCCTCCATGCTGTAGACATGATTTCCATGTTAATTGGGGCATCTGTCACAAGTGTGGATCTTGGTGACAGGAAGCTGCTGGTGATTGTGAAGAGTCGATGTGGACTGTGGGGAATGAGTTTGGCTCCAGGAACAAACATTACAGGGTTTCTGTGCATCTAGTCTCACACCAGCTTCCCAGGGTGGAACACCCAGGTGTTTGCTTGCAGGGTTCCAGAACATTTCCTCAGGTTTTTGCAGAGCAGTGGCCATGATGTACCTGTAGGCCCTGCCTCTTTAGTTTCTCATGGGGTGATGGCTTGAGGGTGTAGTTTGGTGACTCCAGGACCCAGCTCATATTGTTCAGAACCCCCAAGAGTACAAACAGGAGGCAAATCCAGATGTTGTACAGCACTATCCCAGCAAAACAGTTGTTTGTAAGACTGTATCACCTCAGGCCCATGGATAGCTGGTATTCCTTCATGGGAGAAAGGTCAAGGTAGTGTCATTGGACCCTCACTTGAGTCACTCACCTGGCCATTTGCATACAGTTCTCCCCTAATCAAGCATGGCTTCCACTCCAGAAAATGCCAGAGGGCTAGTGTCTTAGTTAGGGTTTCTATTGTTGCAAGGAAGCCCCATGGCAAAGAAGCAAGTGGGGATATAAATGGCTTATTTGGCTTACATTTCCACATTGATCCTCATCACTGAATGAAGTCTGGACAGGAACTCAAACTGGGCAGGATCCTGGAGGCAAGAGCCCATGCAGAGGCCGTGGAGGGTGCTGCTTCCTGGTGTGCTTTTCATGGCTTGTTCAGAACCTTCTTATAAAACCCAGGACCAACAGCCCAGGGATGGCACCACCCATCACGGGCTGGGCCCTCTCCCATTGATGACTAATAAAAACATGCCTTACACTGGATCTCATCAAGGCTCCTTAGCTGAGGCTCCTTCCTCTGCTGGCTCTAGTTTGTGCCCAAGTTGACCCACAAAACCAACCAGTGCAGCTAGATTGTATAGGCTGAGGGAGGGTAGTTGAGGGCTCTTGTATTAATACACACTTAGACACTCAGTGTAGTACTCCCTCACATTGTCATGCTCACACACAATCATATACACACACATACTTTTACATTGTGTTGGCTAGTGTTATGTCAACATGGCATGCATTAGGAAGAGGGAACCTCAATAGAAAAAATGTCCCCATCATATTGGGCAACTTATGTCCCATCTCTTTTTTCTTTTTTGATTGATGTCAGTGCTCAGCTGACTATTGGCGGTGCCACACCTGGACAGGGGCCCTTCATGGTACATGAGAGCAGGCGGAGCAAGCCATGAGAAATAAGCCAGTAAGCAGCACTACTCCACAGCCTCTGAATCAGTTACTGCATCTGTGTTCCTGCCTTGAGTTCATATGATCCCCAGATGATGGATCACAACCTACAAGATGAATTAAACCCTTTCCTCCCCAAGTTGATTTTGGTTATGGTGTTTTATTACAAGAATAGAAACCCTAACTGAGGCACATATTTTACACATTATTTCACCCTTAGAAATATATGCTCACGGGCTGGGGAGATAGCTCAGCCGTTAAAGGCTTAGGCTCACAACCAAAAATATAAGAAATATATGCTCACATGTATTTACAATGTCTTACACTCACAGTTATTCCCATTTTGCTTACAATTATATGTTCTCACACTGTTGAATGCTCACACAACTTCAAACTTAAATGAAGTGTTAAACACACAGTCTCACACAGAAATGACTAAAGACATGTAAACATTGTCATACAGTTATACCTTTACACATTCTTCATACATCCTTGCACATAATATATGCCATGTGATTGTTAGTTTTTATGAGCTAACATAAACCTAGATATTAGCTGAGAAGAAGAAATCTCAATTGAGGAACTGTCCCTGTCAGGTGGCCTGTGGTCATATCTTGAGTCCTTGTCTTCATTACTATTGATGAAGGAGGAGCCAACCCACTGTGGGCGGGGCTATGCTTGAGCACATGAACCTGGGCTGTAGAAGAAAGGTAACTGAGCACACTAGGAGAAGCCAGCCAGAGGAACAAGCCAGTATCAGCCTTTCTCCGTGGTTTCTGCTCTCAGGTCCTGCTCTGTGTTCCTCCCCTGCCGTCCTTCCCTGGGGGATTAACCTGTAAGCTGAAACAAACACTTCCTTCCAGAGTGGCTTTTGTTTCTATGTCTATCCCAGCAATTGAATGTAAATTAAGCTTGATGTTATATACTCGCACACTACAAAACACACACTCAGCATACATTCTGCCACTGATACTCATGTGGACTCACTCTCTTGAATATTTTTCTTTTCTCACCTACAGTCACACATACTTATTTTTGCATGCACACATACCCAGAGAAACGCAGTCCTACCCTCATGTACACTAAATCACACACCAATTTATCACACAAACCCATCAAGACACTCGAAGGTACTATTGCACTCACCCACACTCGTGCTTATACACACACGGTCTCACACAAATTCACAGTGTCACACACTTGTTTCTAACTCTGTCCTTAAACCTATCCTTAACCCTAACCTAATTAATAATCTTAAGCATAACTCTAATTCTAACCCAGACCCTATCCATAGTCAACCTGAGACCTAAACAGCACTAAGCCTAACCCTCGCTCGTGCTGTACCTAATACTTCCTAACTCTAACCCAAGCCCTAACCTCAATCTTATTTCTGTATCAAGCATTAGGTGTAGACATAACTGTTAACAGTAACAGAACCATAAACAAAGGCCTAAATGAAGCCCAGATCTTTCTAAACTACCTCCTGTAATTCTATCACTCACCCTAAGCCTAAATTATTGTGCATTGTTTTACTCTTTTTACTCTTTAGTTTTTTGGGGGTCCCACCACCCAGCTCCCAAATAAATCACACATGGAGGCTTATTCTTACTTATGAGTGCCGGGCCTGAGCTTGGCTTGTTTCTAACCAACTTTTCTTAACTTATATTAACCCGTCTATCTTTTCCCTCTGGGCTTTTATCTTTTTTACTTCTGTATATCTTACTTTCCTTCTTACTCTGTGACTGGCTGGGTGGCTGGGTGGCTGGCTGACCCCTGATGTCCTCTTCCCCTCATTCTCCTGATGCTCCTTCTATTTATTCTCTCTGCCTGCCAGCCCCGCCTATCCTTGCTCCTGCCTTGCTATTGGCCATTCAGCTATTTATTTCACCATCAGGTGTTTTAGACAGGCACAGTAGCACAGCTTCACAGAGTTAAGCAAATGTTGCGTAAGCCAAAGTCACACATCTTAAAATAATGTTCCCCAACACCGAATCTAATCCTAAACACAGTGTTGCACAGGCATGCGCCAAAACTTACAAACTCTTACACAGGACAGCACTTTCATGTACTCTTACCCCCTTGCACACATTCACACTCTCCACTTACACGCTTGTTAATCTTCACATGTGCATTCATACATAATCACACATACAGGCATCAATTGTATGTGTATCCTCGTTTTTTCTTTTATTTTTAAGATTATAATGTATCATTTCCCCCTTCCCTCTCCTCCCTCCAAGCCCTCTTATATATCCCTTCTTGTTTTTTTCAAATGTATCTGCATAGTATTTTACTATATGTGCACACCGTGAGCCCCTGCATAGTGTGTTATCAGACTATGTATGTGCACACTGTGAGCCCCTGCATACCGTGCCCCTCTGCATGTGTGGAGGACAGAGAACATCAGGTGTCCTGCCCCATCACTGTCAACCTTATTCCTCTGGGAAAGGCTCTCTGCTGGATCCTGGAACAAAACTGACAGCCATCAAGCTCCAGCAATCTTTTTATCTCTTACTACACCCCACACGTACAACATGGGGTTACAGATGCACACACAGCCTTGCCCAGCTCTGTGTATCCATGAGGAGGCAGGGTTCTTAACCTCGGGCCCTCAAGCTCGAAGCTGATGCTCTCACCCACACAGCCATCCCTCCAGTCCAGGGTTGTTGTTGAGGAGCTACGTCACCCCATCAATCTTCACCAGTTTAGGACTGAAATTGAAC